CCTTGCCTTTCATGACTTGGAATACTTCTTTCCAGCCCCTTATTGTCTGTAAAGTTTCTTTTGAGAAATCAGCTGATAGTCTTACGAGGACTCTTTTGTAGGTAACTCTCCTTTCCTCTTGCTGCTTTTAAGATTCTCTCCTTATCTTTAATCTTGGGTAATTTAATGATGATGTGCATTGGTGTGTTCCTCTTTCAGTCCAACTTCTTTGGGACTCTCTGAGCTTCCTGGACTTGCTGGAAGTCTATTTCCTTCACCAGATTAGGGAAGTTTTCCTTCATTGTTTGTTCAAATAAGTTTTCAACTTCTTGCTCTTGTTCTTCTCCTTGTGGTACCCCTATGATGCGCGTGTTGGAGCACTTAAATTGTCCCAGAGGTTCCTAAGTCTCTCCTCATTTTTTTGACTTCTTGTTTCTTCATTCTGTTCTGGTTGGATGTTCATTTCTTCCTTTTGTTCCAAATTATTGATTTCAGTCCCTGTTTCCTTCCCTTCACTATTGGTTCCCTGTATATTTTCCTTTATTTCACTTTGTGTAGCCTTCATTTCATCCTTCATTTTGCAACCAAACTAAATAATTTCTGTGAGCATCCTGATTACCAGTGTTTTGAACTCTACATCTGACAGGTTGTCTATCTTCTTGTCACTTCATTCTTTTTCTGGAGTTCTGATCTGTTCTTTCATTTGGGCCTTATTTCTTTGTCTCAATGCAGCTATTACATGGTAAAGAATGGGGCCTTCGATATTCACCAGGGTGGGGCAACCCTCCTTGCTGCATTGTGGTGCTGTTTTTGGGGCAGGGGTCTGAGAGGGAACAATGCTGCTTGCTTGGCTCTCGCCCTGTTTTCAGTCATTTCCCCCACTACTCACAAGCAAATTGGGCCCTTCTGGTGGTGATTCCCAGGTGTGTGTGGCTTTGTGTACATTCTAGGACCCTGTGGGTCTCTCCAATGAACTCTTCTGTGAGGCTGGGAATTTCTTCCACCACCGAAATCCCCACAGGTTTTTTCACTCAGAGGTTTTGTTGCTTTATTTCCCCCATGCTGGAACCCTGGGTTTCACAGTCTGTCTAGCTCCCTACTTGTTCCTCCCAGTTTATCCTCAGGGATAAACGTGGGACTGCCAGGGGTCACCTTGTCCAGCTGGTCCTCCAGCCACTGCCTTGCCGAGCATCCTCTGCACCCCAGCTGCCCCTCTCTGCTTCTCCTACTGGTCTGGATGATTGTTTCTTCTTTAACTCCTTGGTTGTTGAACTTCCATATAGTTCAATTTTTTGACAGTTCTGGTTCTTTTTTGTTCTTAAATTTGTTCACTTTCTTCGGTTGTGCGAGGACACAAAGTATATATCTACTTACACCTCCATCTTGGCTAGAGGTCTTCATTGGGTTTTTGGAAGGATGAAACGAGATGGTATATAGAAAGCACTTGGTGCCTTACCCAGTGCCTGACATATTCAGAAGAGCCACTGCTAGCAGGAGCAGTAGAGGCAGTAATAGTAGTAGTAGCTGCTATTAATATTTGCTTCTCTCATTTCCATCTCCATGTTTGTGTTCTCTTTCTCTTCATGGAATGCAGTTTTTCTCATTCATACTTGTCTAAATTTTATTCGTCTTCAAAGTTCTTTACTAGTTCTCTACCACGGTATCACTGCTTTCCCCCTAGTTATCTTTCCTCTTCAGAATTTCTTAACTCTTTTTGTTTAGAATACTTATTACTTTCATATGCTTTTCTGTCTCTCCACTTCCCTTCAAAGATGAGAAGTGCTTTGGGGGCAGATTGTGCAATTCATTTTTCATACTTTCTAAAGCACAGCATCTTACATAGAATTGTGCTAAAAAGTATTTGTTGAAGAAATAAGTGTCAGCAGAAGTGACACCTGCTTGAGTGTGGTTGATAGGGTAATAAAATGGATGTAATAATTTAAAGTTTTAATTTGAACATTTCACCTAAAATGTCATATGGTGTGCTCGAATGTGACATTGTTATGGCTGTAAAATGTAACATAACATATTGTTACAGAAATAACAATATCATCATACATGTATCTATCATACATGCTTATGATTTTGTAATAAAAGATTTTGTAATAAAAAAGGGGTATTTTTTTTGCTGGGCCCAGTATATTAATTCACTATAATCAGTAGCCCTTTGGTTCCAAGGGGTTTACTCTTACTTCTTTAGGAACTTCTGTAAATTCTACATTAATCATTGGTACTTTTCGAGAAAAAAAATTTGTCACAAAAATGACACTGAAATAAAGGCCCTGTATCAGAACACAATATTAGCAAAAACTGACCCAGTGACAGTGCTTTGGTTTCAGCAGATACTTTTTCCACGTTGTCTCTCATTTGTTATTGCTCCAGAGCCACTCTGTTCCTAATGGTGACTATCATGGTACCAGGTTGAACTGGGAAGTAAGCATTTGTGAATAACAATGGATCTGAAATCCATTTTACTGGGGAAAATAGCACCTAAAATATGATACATTAAAAATGTGATTAAGTATTTCATTGAGTTTGTTGTAACTGAGAAGTTGTCTTAAGGACTGTCACCTTCATTTTGTGTGCAGATGGTGTTCTCTGGAGACCACTCCCACAAGCTGGGAGGGGGTGGGCTGAGAGGGAGTCTCCACTGCAGGCTTTGGCACAGCTCCAGCCTGTCCCTCAGCGTAATGTACACCTTGTCCTTGTCCAAGGAGGTTTGCCATTTGCCTTCATGCCTTTAAAATATTTTTGGTCATTTTGAAATAATTGATTCATAAATAGTATACTATGATTATATAGAGAGTGCTCCAAGGCCAAGAGGCATGGGTTAGAAACAATAAATATTTAATTTATATAGACATATTATTTATTTCTTAAATAGATATTTATCAACACATTAGAATGGTAATATTTTTCCATTGAAGAATGGCCATACCTTACTTGACCATAAAACGCTAAGGTTTGTTTTTAGTTATAATGCAGACTATTATTTGGGGATTCAGGTAAACTCGTTTTGTATACTGCAGAAGTGTAATTATGCACTCTATTCATTTGTCAGGTAGTTTTATGCTTGACAAATGAATAGAGTCAAGCATAAAATAAAGCATAAAATATGCTTTATGGCCCTGGCTGGCGTAGCTCAGTGGATTGAGCACGGGCCTGCGAACCAGAGTATCTCGGTTCGATTCCCAGTCAGGGCACATGCCTGGGTTGCAGGCCAGTTCCCGGCAAGGGACGCATGAGAGGCAACCACACATTGATATTTCTCTCCCACTCTTTCTCCTTCCTTCCCCTCTCTCGAAAAATAAATAAAGAAAATATTTTAAAAAAAATATGCTTTATGCTGGGCATATTGAGGATTTCTTTTTTTATTAAAGGCCAGTTCTTCCTTATTACTGAAGGGGGACTGTGGGGAAGGATGGAAGAGGATTGGGAAACATGACTGATTAGTAGACCAGTTGGATAGACCTTTAAATTGTGAGATATTTTTCTTTACTGATATAAAATTTGATATCAGCACTTTACAAAGGCATTTAATTTTTTGTTTTCATATTAGAATCTCAAGAAAATTGATTGGGACACCATGCAGTAAGGTTAGGTACAGAAGAAATTTCAAAAAATGTTACCCCATATTAGCATTCTCTGCTGAACTTGAGGAATATATACTTTTTGTGATGTGTGGGTTTTGTGTTTTTATGAACTATTTAGGGAAGCTTTTCTGCTGAAATGGCTGCATGTAAGTTGCAAAGATTTGATCCCTTCCTTATATCAATGTTCCACCTCATTAACTTCATTGTTAGAGCTTTTCCACTTCAGTGATTTAAATAAAATGATCAAAATGTAGTTCTGTTGTCTTCTCTTTCCATCTGTCTCCTCCTTTTTGAGGTCTATATGATTATGCATTTAGTTTTGTGTTTTCATTTAGACTCTATTGTTAATTGTGTTAAGTGCAAGACAGTGATGAAGGGAAGCTATTATATAACTAAATGTCTCACAGTATTGAAGCCCTGGGCGATATGGAAATGTGCTTATAAGGATAAACTGGTCACTTCTTCAACCAGTGTCCTATAATTTGTATCTTCAGACGGTCTTCAGAGACTAGGTGCTTCACAGCTGTAAGACTCCATTCTATTGTGGAGTTCAGGTTGGTGATTGCAGCTGACCCTTGGACAGCACAGGCTGCCGACCTCTGTAGATTTTTTTGCAGGCAAAAATCTGTGTATAACTTTTGACTCCCCCAAAACTTAACTACTAATAGCCCACCGTTGACTGAAAACCTCACTGATAACATAAACAGTTGAATAATAAACAGTTGATTTTTTTATGTTACATATATTATGTATTCTTACATTAAGCTAGAGAAAGATGTTATTGAGAAAATCATAAGGAAGAGAACATTTATTTGAAGTGCTGTATGTATTTATTGAAAAAAAATCCAGGTGTAAGTGGATCCACACAGTTTAAATCTGTGTTGTTCAAGGATCAGCTGTATATATGAGCTTTCATATATATCTTCTGGTATTTATAGGCCTGGAACCCAAAAAAGGGAGAGCTTTGCTTAAAAGCAACCTATGTTTGTCCTTTAAAATGTTTCGTAAGCATTTTCAGGAAAAGTAGGAATTATGCAATGAATTTGGAATCAAAGTCACCTTTGCAGATCTTTGCAACTACTTGCAAATGGTTGATGTATTTAGGGAGTAAGGCTTTTTCTACATGATTTACTGGCTGATGGGAGCACTCCTTAGCAGTATATTTCCCAAATGCAAGTTTGATGTCTTCATTAAAAATGTAGAGAAAAATTAGCTAATATAACCTGAGTTTGGGGATGAAGCTGGCATGTTGTTAGACATTTTGCATTTAAAAAAATAGTTAATTACTAAGATATATCACTAGATAATTTTTTGAAGATTAATTTATATTTGACTATTTAAATTGAGCAATGAATTTCATTTTATCTAAGTTTAGGTATTGACATCAGATAATGGCGATCATTTCTAACCATTTCTTTTATTTTCCAGCTCACCAGCGACTGGAACCAGCAACTCTGTCAGGGATTGTGGCATTTATCCTCAGTCTCTTATGTGGGGCTCTGAATTTAATCCGAGGCTTTCATGCCATAGAAAGTCTCCTGCAGGTACTGTACTATTTTTGTAATTTCAGGTGACTAGTGTCTGTTGAATCTGCTTGTTACACAGAATTGATTTGGTTTGATTATTAGTACAGCCTATAATGTATGCCCAGATTTGGTATTCTTCATACATGCCTTAGTCTCCCCTTCCTCTAAAAAAACTTAAAGAAAAAATCCCACTGATTTCTAGTTGACTGTCTCAATTAACACATATTTACTGTCTATTTCACAAGAGGCACTATTTATGGGTACTCTGGGGACATTAAGATATGTGTGACGTAGGCCCTGCAGTCTCCGAGCTTAGAGTTGAATTTGGGAGGCATGGAAGCCCACAAATAAAGCCAAGTGCCAGATATACAGAGCGCAGAAGTGTAGCCCATTTCAGAGCGTACAGCTTTCCTTTCCCTTGTTAACTCGCTTTCTCTGAAAACTTCTGACACTTCCACACTGTAAATCAGATCTCTCTTTGGGAGAGTCAGCATTAAATTCCAAAATCCCACTCCACATGCTTTGTATTCTGTTTTAAATTGCTGTTAGCTTGGGAGTCACTCAGAGAGTACCATCCTGAGTGCCCTCTGAATGTTCTCAGCTCTGTGAGCCCACAGCAGAGGACCTCGCAGGGTCCAGGGAGCTGCGCTGTCCCTTGAGTGGGGGATGGAGGGGAGCATCTGTTGCTTCCCAATTTCTCTCCCAACCGTCCTGGGCCTTCAGGTTAAAGCTCCTTTCTCATTTTAGGCACAGGACTGCTGGATACTGTTTCCTGGAGTTCTTGCCCTTGTCCCCTAGCCAGGTCAGCTGTACTCCAGCAGGAGTTCACTTTGGAGCCAGTTAGTCAACCTGCCAAAAGAGAAACAAAGGCAATTTGGAGACTGTGGGCTGAAAAAGCTAGTAAATAAGATACTCTTTTGCTTCAAAAGCAAACTTGATGTAGTGGAAAGAATAGTAGTGTTTGTGCAAGAGAAAGAGTTGGCTCCAGCTCAGCGACTGATTAACTCTGTGACTTTGAATGGCTCACCTTGCTTTCGGTCCTCGGTTTCATTGCTCATCAACTAGAGGAGGAGGGGTGGATTTGATGAGTGTCTCTTGAAACATGGGACACATTCACCACTAGTTACACAATGGATGACTGTAGATCAGTGATTTTTAACCCTTTTCATTTCGTGGCACACATAAACTAATTACTAGAAATTCTGTAGCATATCCAAAAAATGTGTTTTTGCTGATCTGAGAAAAACATAGGTATAATTTTGATTCATTCACAATGGATGGCTATCCTTGTGTTGGCTGTTGTCATTTTTACATTTGACAGTCTAAGAGAAAAGAGGTCAGTGCTCCACTAAATAGATATTGCGTGTTTTAAAAATTCTTGTAGCATACCAGTTGAAAATTGCTGCTATAGATCATAGAGGGGTAAACGTTTTTAATTTTAAGAATTAGGATATTTAATGTATATTAATATGTAGAATCCGTTTGGTAAGATACTAGTTCCTATTAATGATAGAGCAATAAAACCTTCCTTTTAAAATGAATAAATTTTAATAAGTCGAATTTATGAAATTTATTACATAAATAATGGTGTAATTAGTATTTAGAGTTGGCAAAAATTGTGAAGGTGGTACTTTAAGGTTAAAATGTTCTGGTTAAAAAAATTCTCTGGTTGTTTGAAATTAGCAGATTAATAAATAAGGGTTGAAGAAAGCTTTCAGAAAAGCCACAAACCCTTACCTTCCCTGACTCAGAAGAGAGTGCATAAGCTGTGAAACCTGAGGCTTAGACCATATTACTTTTAAGTTAAAAACCAGACAGTGCTGTCACATATCACAAAACATGTTAAAGGAAATAATTTCTTTTAGGCACTCAGCTATCTTATTTCTCTTCTCCCTGGGCTGCTGCTTTTCTTCTTCTGATTTACAACTTGAAGACTAAGGGAAGTGGTATAAACTACAGCTTCTCATAGCTTTTGAGCTGCTACACCTGACTAATGCATGCCTTGATTCTTAAGAGTTTCATGTTCTCCCTCGATTGGTAATGTATTTGACTCATTACAGCTGTTTTTTGGGGGTTTCAGAAGAACAGTACAGGCATACCTTGCTTTATTGCACTTCACAGATTTATTTACAAACTGAAGGCAAGACCCTCTATCAGCAAAAAAATTACAAATGGTTTTATTGTGATACTTTGTTGCACTGTTCTAGAATAGAACCCACAATAAGTATCTCCAAGGCATGCCTGTAATCTGATTCAACTAATTACCACCTGTATCTGACTAGTAGCTCTGAAATTTCTTAATACTATTTACATTTTAAAAAGACATCACAGACCAATATCTTATGAACATTAATGTAAAAATCCCCAACAAAATATTAGCAAATTAAATTCAGTGGTGTATAAAAAGAATTATACACCATAACCAAGTGGGATTTATTCTAGTATACAAGACTGCTTCAACACTTGAAAATCAGTGTAGTAGGCTAAAGAAAAATCATATGATCACATCAGTAGATGCAGAAAAGGCATTTGACAAAATCAAACACCCTTATGAATTCACAGGAAACTAGGAATAAAGGGGAACTTCCTCTACTTGATAAAAAAAATCTACAGAAATCCTGAGCTAACATCATATTTGATGAGAAGCTAGATGCTTTCTCCCTAAGTTTGGGCACAAGGATGTCAACTGTCACCATTTCTATTCAGCATTGTACTGGAAGACCTAGTTAATGCAATTAGACAAGAGAGCAGAAGGTATAAATATTGGGAAGGAAGAAATACCAACTGTCTCTATTCACAGCTGATACGATTGTCTACACAGAAAATCCCAAAGGATCAATTCCTGGAACTCCTAAGTGATTAGTAAGGTCACAGGATCCAAAGTTAATGTATAAAAGTCAATTGCTTCCCTATATATCAGCAAGGAATGATTGAAATTTGATATTCAAATAATATCATTTATATTGGCACTCCCAAAATTGAGGCACTTAAGAATAAATCTAACAAAATATATTCAATATCTAAACTATAAAACTCTTAATAAAAGAAATCAAGGAAGCTCTAAATAAATGGAGAGATATTCTGTGTTTGTGGATAGGAAGAATCAATATTGTCAAGATGTTAGTTCTTCCCAAGTTGATCTATAGACTCAACACAATTCTAACCAAAGTCCCAACAGTTATTTTGTGGGTATTGACAAAGTGATTCCAGAATTTACTGGAGAGGCAGAAGACCCAGGCTAGCCAATGCAATACTGAAAAAAAAGAAAAGACATACTACCCAACTTAAAGACTTACTATTAAGCTATAATAATGAAGACTGTGTGGTAATGGAAAAACAATAGACAGATAGATCGATGGAATAGAGTACAGAGCCCAGAAATATACTCTCACAAATATGGTCAACTGTGCTTGACAAAGAAGCAAAGCAATTCAGTGGAGAAAGGATGTTCTTTCCAACAAATGGTGCTGGAACAGCTGAGCATCCACATGCAAAAACATGAATCTACACACAAATCTTAAACTTTCATAAAAAGTGTTTAACTCAAAATGGATTACTGACCTAAGTGTAAAACGTGAAACTGTAAAAATTATAAAAGATAATAGGAAAAACTTATGCAACCTTGAGTTGGTGATGAATTTTTAGATACAACACAAAAGCATGATTTATGAAAGAAAAACTGGTTACTTAGGCTTAATTGAAAAAATTCTGCTCTGTGAAGGACATTAAGAAACTGAAAAGATAAGCCACCTATCTGACAAAGGTCTTGTATCCAGAACATACAAAGAGCTCTTAAAACTCAAGAAAACAAACAACTCAATTAAAAAAGAATTTGGCATTCCAAGAGCTAAACAGGCATTTCATAAAAGGACAGGAAAAGATACATCATAGGTCATTAAGGAATTGCTAATTAAAATATTAAGACATCACTAAACATCTATTAAAATGGCAAAAATAAAAACAGAAAACAAAAACCTTGACAATACCAAGTGCTGATGAGCATATAGAACAATCGGACCTCTTCATGCATTGCTGATGGGAATGCAAAATGGTACAGTCACTTCAGGAGACAGTTGGCCTGTTGCTCACAAAGCTAAACATAGCCTTACCATGCAATCCAGAAATCATGCTCCTCAGTGTATTCACCCAAATGAATAGAAAACATATCTACACAAAAACCTGCACATGAGTGTATATCTCAGCTTTATTCATAATTTCAGAAAACTGGAAGCATCTATGAAATCTCAAGGTGAATGGATAAACAAACTGATGATCTGTACAATGGAATATTATTCAGTAATGAAAATAAATCGAGCCATAAAAAAAGACATGGCTGAACCTTGAATTTATATTGCTTAATGAAAAAAGCCAGTCTCGAAACTACATGCTGTGCATTCCAGCTATATGACATTCTGGAAAACATAAAACTATAGGGACAGTGAGTAAAAACATGAGTGGTTGCCAGGGCTTTGGAAGGAGGGAGGAAGGATGACTAGTTGGAACATGGGATTTTTAGGCAGTGAAACTATTCTGTACATTATGTACTGGTGGTGGTTGTTATACAGTTCTCAAAATCTAAGAATGTACAATGCAGATCAAACACCATATTTGTGCAAGATGTTAATAACAGGAACCCGAGCAAGGGGGAAATCAGGTATATAAGCACTCTACTGCTTACGTTTCTGTAAACCTAAAACTGCACCAAAGATAAAAATGTACTAATTAAACACACACTCACAGAGCACATACCGGCATTAAAACAAAGACCAGAAATGGGAAAGATTCTCCAGGATTTGATTTTTCCTCAGGCGTGCCTTTGCTTTTAGCAGGTGCAGTATGTATAGTCTGTTGCCTCTGGCCAGCTCCTGTGAAACAGTGGGTCAGGCTTTCTCTTTTCATGGAGGTGCTGAGCCTTCCCATTCACACAGGTCAGGTAGGGACTCAGAACCCCAGTCAGAAGGGAACGTAGGTTCAAGAATCTGATTCATGTTTCAAGGTCACATGTGCAATCATGTGCC